CTGACTGGGACGCTTGGTAGCTCAGAGGACTCCAGCCCCCCAGTGGTCCCAGATGAGGGGCAACATGGAGACAATTAGGACTGAGTGTTTGGCAGTGTGCTCAGTGCATACGGGTGCTCACCACAGGGGAGTTTTGCTCATCCACTAGTCTTCTCTCTACAGGTGGGTCACAGTCTCAGGAAGTCCAGGAGGGAGGCTAAGCCAAGATGGAGGCTGAATTGTGCCTTAGCCCTTATTCTGACATTCAGATGAGTTAGTGTTCTTCACAAACTACAGCGGGCTGCATAAACGTGAAGGTCCATTGTCATTACCTCCTGTCAAGACTCCACCGCATCATTCCTCAAAGACTCTCTCCACCCAATTTCGTAAACAGCCACAAAGAGAAATTAGATGCCGCCGATGTTTTGCAATGATCAGAAACAACTTCTCAAAATTGACCCTAAATCTTTCCTGGTTCAGCGGTGCCCACTTTTCCATATGGATATTCTGGTTACTTCTGCCACATACTAAACTGCTGCAAAACACAGGGGTGTAGAACAGCAACCGCTTTATTTTGCTCATGATTTTGGAGGTTTAGGAATTCTGAAATGACTCAGCTGAACTCTTTACCTGTGGGATTTCTCATGCGGTTCACGGTATGATGTCATTGAGGCCTCAGTCATCTGAAGGTCTGCCTGGGCTGGGTGTCCAAGATGGCACCTGCACATGGCTGGCAGGTGAGGCTGGCGGTGGGCTGGAAGTTCAGCTGCGTGGTCCACATGAATGCCTATACAGAGCCCCTCCAGCATGGCGGTCTCAGACTAGCTGGATTTCTTATATGGCACTAGATTCTCAGGCAGTGAGTATTTGTTCTGAGAGAACTGGAATCTGCATAGCCTTCTGGGAAGGCTGTCAGGGTGATTTCTCCCACGGTTTCATAGTGACTCATTCCCACAGTCCCCTGGGTACAAGCGGGCCATCAGGCTAGCATAGACTTATGGGGATGAGAATTAGATTCCACTTCCCGATGGCAGAGTGGCAAGGTCGCTCCCACTGCAGGTGGGCGTGTAGGATGGGACAAGTCACTGTGGCCATCTTTAGAGAGTATGACCTTCCACAAAAGATGACAATTATTTCCCATATTCGAAGGCTTGTAGAGAGTAATCCACGAACAACCCGTTTCATGGAGTCAAAGACTATTTAGAGATGAGTAGAGTCTTAGAGTCTTTAATGCCTTTATGTTAAGATGAAAAAAATTGGGGACTGAAGAGCTGAAGTGGCTAGCCTGGGGTCCAGCAGTTGATCAGAGGGGACGAGCACTGTGACCCCAGTCTACTATCCACTTGTGCCCCATCCCGCCTTTGGCAAGCTCTGGTTGTGGCTGGTATCATTCCTCACCCTTCTTCCTAACAGGAGGAGGATTTTGCTTAGGGAACTACCCTGCCCACAAGGCTTATGTGCCTCAAAGGGAACTCACCCTGCGGTGTTGCACCGTTCATACCCAAGGTCAGCATGGCGGGAGCCATTTTGCTACCAGCCTGCAAATGAAGCCACCATCTCGAGAGAGGCAGAGTCTAGAAAGTCACAGGAAAATGGAGCTGCTGCTGCTGGATGAGATCAGCTGTAAGCCTGCTCTGCTGATCGTCCCGTTTTGTGAGTCAACAATCTCCTTATTGTTAAAGCTACTTTCAGCCGAGGTCCTGGTTACTTGCAGCTGAGTCCATCGTAAGTAAAACACTTCTATCTGGGGGATTAGTCCCAACCTTAGAAGGGGCATTTAAGGGGATTTAGCTCAACGCTCCAGGCTTCAGCTTCAGGTATGGCCAGTGTGTATCTGCCCCTGAACTTGGTGCTGACGGTCTCTGATAACTGGGATTTTCGCTCACTCTCTGAACCCAGTCTCTACCCAAAAGTGGCTCAGTCCCTCCAGAGCCCACTCTTGAGCTTCTCTCACTTTCAGTCCCTGCTCAGGGTTGGAGTCCTCTCGGCTTCCAAAATTTCACGCCAGTGGCTCTGGTGCTATAACCCATGGTCATCCCAGGTGCCCTCCTCCCTGTGCCCGTCTTCTTAGACTTGGGGGATCACCAGTCTTGGGGACGCTATGTTGAATTCTGAGTTCCGCTACCCTTGGTACATGACTGGCTGGACCCCATTGTCGGGTGCTCACCTGGTTGAGGTCTGTTGCTGCACCGTGCAGATTCTAGAAACCCAGTCTTGCCCTCCTGGACTGGACTTCCTCCCCGCACCTGCAGCTGGGCAGATAAAGCCTGCCTCTCTCACAATTCCCTTCGTGCCTTCATGAGGGAGTCTCCCTGTAGATTTTCCTGGTAGACACTTTGGTGGGAACGGGGGGATGCCGGTTTTGGGCAGTACATCTCATATTTGCACCTGCAAATCTTTCACAGTACACGAGGCTCATATTTTATCACATTGTTTTTTTCCCCTGCTGGGTGGGGGGTCAGGTCACATGGAGATTTTGAAAGCAAAACAAGAAAATCCATTTATATCAGTTGTCACTAAGGTATGTTTTGTTTGAGGTCTCTGTTTACATCCTCACCACCTCTGTGTGCCCTTAGATGATCCCCCTGCATTTGAAAGTATTGCCTGCTTGCTAAAAAGAAGTATTTGGGGGGCAGAACTCACTCTGAGGCTTGCTTTTATGGTAGCCTCGGAGTGAGGTTACAGGGGACGTAGGGAACTTTCAACTCCTTTAAATAATGACAGCTGTTGGTATTAACCAAAGGAACTGCATGTTATCCATGACCTAACTGGCATGTGGGATGGGACAAGTCACTGTGGACAAGTCCAAGTTCTAACACTGGAAGTATGAGATGCACATGTATTTATAAGCAGTGGGGGATTGCTAAGGATTTCTGCGAGGTGGAGCAGGGACCGGGAAAACAGCCTCACATGTATGTGCCCAGCAAGTCCCTTGAAATCTTCCTCTGGGCTATGATGGCGTGTCTCTTCTTCTTCCCTGCCCTTTTGCCCACAGCACCCGCTCCCCCTCCTCCTTCTTCCTCTTTCGTGTTCTGGAAAACCCCCTTCCCTCTGCAGAAAACTTGAGCTGTGAGTTTGAATAGTGAACTTCTCAAAGCAACTTTCATGCCAGCTTTGTACTCTTTCCAATGACCTTGAGAATGCTGATCGGTGAAAAGAGTGTGATGATTCGATGTTCTTGATAAAGACGAAGGCATCATGAGTTCTAATCTCTCCGCATTTCCTTGTAGTGGTTCCGGGGTGTCAACTACGGATGGAAGGCTGGCAGGCTTGGTTTCCAGGCTCTGCAGCTGCCTCCTTTCTGCAGGCGACATCACGCCCGTGTCCCCTTCTGCCAGGTCCCTAAGGAGGCTGCAGTACAGACTCTGAGGGTCACATCTGTGGAGCCTCTTATGTGCTCTAGTTTCAACTGTGCTCCAGTCCTGGCTGCAGTCTTTGGCTCATTTCTTGGGACTCTCCTCTCTCCCCCCTCTCCCTCCTCCCATCTCCCTCATGGAAGCTTGTTCACTCCTGAGTCTTACTATGACTGGGCCCTGCCTTGTTCCCAACACCCTTTCCCATGTCTTTGGGGGTTCGATTCCTGTCCCGACTCCAGCCTAGCTGGGACCCTGAGACCTGATGAATACCAAATATTTCTGATGAAAACTGAAGGGCCCCTGTGCTCGCAAGGGCACCTCCCACCTCCTATTTTATTTATTTATTATTTTTTGAGACAGAGAAAGAGAGAGAAGATCCCAAGCAGGCTCCCCGCTGTCAGCATGGAGCCCCATGCAGGGCTTGAACTCACGAACTAGGAGATCATGACCTGAGCCAAAATCAAGAGTCAGACCTTAACCAACTGAACCACTCAGGTGCACCCCCACCTTCCAGTTTGGTCATGTGCAACCATGAGGTTCCTTTGGTTAATATGAGCAGCTGTCATTAGTTACAGGAGTCCAGGGCCAGCTCCTTCTCACACTCCCGGTTACATGTCTCTGACCAAATTCCTCCACACACACACACTCATTAGCAAGGGGCACCTATCAACTACACCATCTCCTGTCAGCTTGATGAAGTCTAAACTTCCCGTTCTTTGGGTGCTCTAACAAGATGGTGCACCAAAGAAAGTCTTACTTGAAGCAAATGTGGCAATACTCTAGTACAGGGATTGGCCACCCGTCTGGTGAGATGCAGGTTGGCCCATATCCTCCGGAATCAGCAGCTGGACACACAGGCCGTGGTCAATACTCCTAAGTGGGAAGGAGGAAAGGCTCAAGGCATAGATTCTAATAACCTGCCCGCATGTTTGTGGGGCTTCTCGGTGCTTCACCAATGAGAACCCACCCCTTCACACACAATGTGAACTAACACCACCTCTGGTATCGATAGATAGATCGGAGAGAGAGACAGCTGAAGCACTGTGGGAGCCCCTCTGGGCCATGGCCTTCTGATTAAATTCTAATTACTACCCCTGGAGTTGCCCTGCCTGGGGCAACTGGCCTCGTTCTAGGGTGTAGATTAATCGGCACAGACTCACACTCAGATCGCACTTTTGGTACTGATGCATTTTAAAGCAAATCGCAGAGACAGCACGGTACCAGGACACCCGGCCTCTGTACTAACAGTAACAAACAACATTTCTGGGTTACAAAATGCTAATGCACAGCTTTCAGCCCCTTGCAAAGTAAGGGCCCTGAACTATTTCTAGCCCCGCCGCCAAAGAGTCTCACGGGGACTCAGCAACAGTGGCACTAGCTGGAACTTCGCACAGCCCCGCGGCATCCGCTTCCCTTTCCCGGTCCCTTTGCAACAGGCATGCGTCAGTTGACGTGCCTACAATGGCTACTAGGCATTCAGGAGGCTTCCACCCCAGCCAGCCCTCCTTTGTGGCCATGTGACCACATGAGCATGTGACCTGCCTAAGCCAATCATAGTGGCCTTATCCTTTTGGCCACAGTGATTGGCCAGGAAGGTGCGCGTGGTCTGGTGAAGCCAATCAGGAGGCCTCCTGGTTCTCTCAGCCCGGGGCTGGGGAGGGGAGGCTGGGATCTGGGGGTACAGCTGTTTGTTCCGGTGACGTTGGCCTTGCCAGGACAGCTGCGTTGTGAAAATGAATCTGATAATCGGAGCGAATCAGAGGCCTAGGTTGTGACGGACCGACTGTGTCCTCCCCACCAGATTCACACGTTGAAGTCCTGATCCCCAAGGGGACGGTGTTGGGAGGTAAGAAGGTTTGTGTGATGTCCTGAGGGTGGGGCCCCCCAGGATGAGATTAGTGCCCTTCTGGGGCCTGCCCTTCTCTGCACCCACGTGTGTTCACGCAGAGCAGAGCCCGTGGGAGGGCGGCGAAGGAGGTGGCCGTCCACAAGCCAGGAAGCGGACCCTCACCGAGAGTGAGTGTGCAGGTGCCTTGGGCTTGGATTTGCCCGCCTGCAGGGCTGGAGAACAGATGCCCGCTGTTCAGACCACCCATCGGTGTAGTTTCCTTCTAGCACCCAAGGGCCCCGGGTGTGCGTGGAGAAAGGAAGTCCTCACAACAGCTGAAACTCTAAATCCAGCCCTCCCTGGGTCCAGCTGTACCTCTGTGCTTTATGCGGTTTGGTTATGCAGCCCACAGATTCCCTTTTTTGCTCACGTTGGTTTGGGCGAAGTTTCTAATTAATTTTTCCGCCATCACCAGTCAGTAGCTGCTTCACAGGACGAAACTTTCACTCCTCACGAGAACCCTGTGCTGCTGGCCTTCTGGTGCTTGCTGCTATGGACCAGTGTCCCACTCACCCTGTCTTCCTGATGCTGCCCCAGATGTCCACATCCGATCCCGAGGACCACCTGGGCCCAAACTGAGGCCCCGGTATTTGCAGCGCAGTTGGCTCGTGCCCAGCGTGTCCCGTAGATGCCTGCTCTTGGGGTGAGCAGGGTGTGCGCGGCTCTGGGCCTGCCCACAGCGAATTCATGCACACCATAGATCCACGAAGTCCTGATTAGGGATTTTTGGCTTCTTGTTTTCAAAAGTTATGTTGCCGGGCTGGGTGTCACACTGTCGGCCTCTTCGGGAACCATTTCTGCCTCCTGGGAAGGACGTCCTCCCCCCAGGACCTGAGGCTCATCCCGTCCCCTCAGTGCTGGCCTCCTCTCCTTTCCTGTGTGTCCCCAGGTCCCCGTGTGTACACCGTGGCTAAGTCAACCGTGATCTCCAAGGGAGGCCTCACGCTGTGGGTGCTCACCGAGGCCTGTGTGTCTGGTGCCCTGTGCCCGTGCGAACACCCCGGCCTCACATCTCTGCTGCCGATGTCAGACATGGCTGACTTGCCCTGCGCTGTGGGCTTGGCACGCAGGACCCTCTTGATCTCTATCTGCACCTTCCACACAGAGGAAGCCAGATAGCATCAGGTGTTGATGGTTTGTTTCCTTCTCGCTGATCTGAGAGCCTAAAAGCAAGAGATTTCTGCTGCATTTGCTCTTCTTTTATTGATTACGGCCAGGGGTCCCAGGGCAGCCGATGAAGAGTTTAGACTTGTGTTTTCTCATCTGTAGAATGGAACCACTAGTAAAACATTGCTTTGCACCTCACCTCCAACCAGACTGCATCTCCTGGACGTGCAGCGCAGAGACTTCTGAGTGACTTGGGGCCCTTAAGAGAAGGGGCTTTCCTGAGAGGACAGTGGTGTCTGGTGTCCCAGGCGGTTTGGGGCCCATGTGGGCTCTTGACTTCTCTCATAGCCTCACGGCTGCAATCTTTCTGCACGTCACCCTCCCTCTCCTCTTAATCCCGGGAAGAAAATCATCCCTGGTTCCTCCAGCCTCGCATTCCAGAAAGAGCTGAGCTGGTGTGACCAGCAGAACCTGGAGATGTGCCCTACTCTTCTCTCATGTGATACAGTCCTGGGTTTTTAGCCAGACACCTAGCTGCCTAGATGAGGACTGACATTTCCCAACCTTCCTTGCACCTGTGGGTGCCCACGTGACCACGTCTGGGCCAGCGATTCATACAAGCGAAAGCTATCTGTGTGACCTCCAGGCTGTGCTTTTAAAAGGAAGAGGCATGTCATCTGGGTCCTTTTTCCTGTCCCACCTGGCAGAAGGTGGAAACGCCAGGAGCCACCTTGCACAGTGCAGTTGGGGACGGGACCACAGTCGGCAGAGCGACAAGAGAGAAAGAGCCTGGGCCCCTGACACTTTTGCAGACTGGACCTGCAATGCCAGCTTAGACGAGAAAAAAAGTTTACATTTATTTCAGCCACGTCGTTGGGATTTGGCTTTGGCAGCTGAGCCGCTGTTACGTGTAGAAAATCGGTGTTGCCTCCAAGCCCGCTACCTCGACTGGAAAACCTACGGTTGGGCTCCCTTGGTGGATGTGCATCCTTGACCCCATCAGTGGCCACCTTTGCACAGATAATAGCACTGCTTCCTGGGGTAGGGGGGCGGTGGGAAGGGCAATCTCCTCCAGGAAGGGATTCCCCCCCCCCCCCCCCCGCCTCAAGGCAGGCATCTAAATGAGAACCTTGCATGGCATTAGTCACACATTGCAGGATGTCACTAGGTGACTCGAAAAGGATGGCAACTGTGCTCGTTCGCAAATCTTTGGAGTTCCCAGACGGCTGGCAGGATGAGACACCATCAGGTTGGACATCCAAAAATGCAGGCCCAGTGGTGCTGGCACCTGGGGACCTCAGCAACACGAGTTGGTGGCATCATTAATAAGAGGCCACACGTGTGCCTCTTTCTGTCCTGTGACTCCACGTCGGATCCGCTGGTGAGGGACTCGGATTGACATAACAAATGCTACCACCTTAGTTTGCTCGGTTCCCTTTGCATCAGGTCATGCCATGAGCTGCTAGCAGTTTATGGTGGGATGTCCATGCCTGGTCCCCTCGGTGGGCACCTCTGTCCAAACGTGATCCCAGAACTGCCTTCCTTACAGGAATGGGTGGGGCTATAGGTCACATAATTTTAGTTAAAGGGGACATTGGGCATGAAGAAAAATACCGAAAGCATCAAGGAATTGGCAGTAGCTACATCTGGTGATTTGGCAGATTTAAGCATCGGGCAGGTTCTATTCAGAGCAAGAGAAGGGACCCAGGTGAGGCCAGGTGCCAGGGGCATGGGCCAAGGGTGACGCCGGAGCTGGAGCCCGCACAGCAGTGCCGTGTCTCTGAGCAGTGAGAGAGGATGGAAGATTGTAGCGAAAACATTGCACAGGGGAATTCTTTTTTTTTTTTTTTAATTTTTTAAATGTTTGATTTATTTCTGAGAGAGAGAGACAGCATGAGCAGGGGAGGGTAGAGAGAGAGGGAGACACAGAATCCGAAGCAGGCTCCAGGCTCTGAGCTAGCTGTCAGCACAGAGCCCGACACAAGGCTTGAACCCACAAACCACGAGATCATGACCTGAGCAAAAGTTGGACGCTTAACCGACTGAGCCACCCAGGCGCCCCAGGGGAATTCTGTTCTAGGTACTGAAAGAAGCTGTCGGGGCCAGGGGAAGAGGCCTACTCCTTGGGGTACAAGATGGGTCTTAAGCCTCAGAAGCAACACTATAGCCAGATTCCAGACCACAGACCAGATTCCAGATTCCAACTCTATGCAAGAATCCAATCCTCTCTGCCCTGTTCGTCTTCCTTCTTTCCCTGCTGTCAGAGGTTTTTAAGTTCATTCTCACCGTGGCTCACCAGCCAGCCAGACAACGTTCAGTGGAGCCCAGCTTCTTCCTCCTCAGAATTACTGCTGGAAAAGAAGAGGTCACCAAGGTCATGCTTCTCTGCCTTAAGGTTTCAAAATGACGATGAGCGGGCTAGAGAGGTGGAACAGACATTCTCATTGCCCACCAGCCACCCATTCTCTCCTTTCTTAGGAAAAGAAACCCAATTTTAGCCTCTCTGCAGTGTGGGGGTGGCCGAGAGATGAAGTAGAAGCAATGGCCTGCAAGAGGAATACTTTAAGAGAAGCTGGCTTGGCTGGAAGAGCCACTCTTCTTCTGTCTCCCACTCCTTCCTGTTGCTGGCTTGGAGTGCAGATGAGTAGGCCTCATCTCCAGGAGCCATCTTGGATCACGAGGTGATCTTATGGATGGAAGCCACACCCAAAGAGGGAGGAACAGAGAGGTCAGAGTCAGAGCCTCTCATGCTGCTATGGGTCCCGCATAGCTGGGGAGTCAACCTCCAGGATTTTGGTACCTAAGGAGGAATGAACTTCTGTCTTGTGGGAGCCCTCACTACTCAGTGTGCTTTGTCGACCAGCAGCATGGACGTCCCTCAGGAGCTTGTTAGAAACACTGAACCTCAGGGCCCACCCGAGACCTTTGGAATCAGAATCTGCCTTTTAACAAGGTCCACAGAAGTCATGTTGTGCACAAGGTGGTTTGAGAAGCACTGGTTTAAGCCACTATCATCGTGGTTTATCCTGTTGTGTGTAGCTGAATCTCATTCTTGGGGATAGAGAGGATGATTCTCGTACAGGGTCACCAAGAAAATGAGACTGCTTGGAAGCTCACCAGTGAGTTCTCCCACATCTCCCACCTGCTTCCGGGAAGAGGATGCGTGACTTTCCAGAAAACTCCTGTCTCCCCAAATCATATCACGAGGAGTATGGGGAACCTTGACCAGGGTTGTTGTCCTGGGGCCCAAGTTCTTGAAAAGCAGGGTCCCTGTCAGCTGCAGTCATCTGCACCCCAACCTCCTCTGTCTCCAGACCCAAGAGTTTCAGAGGACAGATGATGGCATTAACGCAGAGGAGTTAGGTGAAGGGGCCCACAGTCATTCTGAAACCTTAAGGCATCACAAAATAGATCATCTTTCCCGGAAGCCTTGACCTACTGTTTTTAAACATGGGCGTTTCTAGGCTTTGTTTCTGGGGCTGCTGTTATACTCAGCCCCTCTGTGACTCCAGCTTGATGGCCTAGGAGGGCCACAGCCTCTGGTACAGAACCCTGAAGGGTCCCCCCCTGCTCATCCATATCTGCCCAGGTGGATGGGTGGGGGGTGGAGAGGATGTCTCCTGAGGATGACATTCTGGAAAATGGTTCTCGACATCCTACCAACTGGATGCAGCCGTTCAAACGAATCACTTGAAAACATCCAGCTATAGTGAGGCAACTGGAAGTAATGGTTAAGAACATGAGTCTATAATTCAAGGAGATCTGGTTTTATGTCCTGGATCTGCCCTTTACTGCTACCGCCTGACCTTGGAGAGATCTCTAATCTCCCTAAGCCTTCTCTCCAGTCTTGCCAACCCAGGTGGCCTGCGTTTCCTCATCTGCATACGGAGTAATAACAAGTTTAAAACAACAACAGCATCTTCTTTGGAAGGTTTCTGTGGGTTCAGGTACTTGACCTTGAGCATCATTAAATCCTCAGTCTTTGATATGAGCAGGTGTACGAGCTCCATGGATCCTGTACACCTGTGCCTCTCTAATGGCAATGCCCAAACACATCATCCAGAGATTTGGGGAAAAGGCAGTTTCTGATTCCGCAGTTTGGCTTGGAGCCGAAGCTTCCTGGTGCTGCTGGTGACCCCTCCACGTATGGCATGTGTGTAGCAGGATTGTAGACTCTCTACTAGCAACTCGTGGATACTCTTTAGTCTTGGCTCCTCAGCTATTCAAACCTTGGCAGCTGCAATTTCGGACACCATCACTACAAAAAGCAACTGGACAGTCACTTATTACATGATCTTATCACAAGGTTTCTGTTTCCGTTTTGTGGCTCATAACCTACTAAAGGTAGAACTTCATTTTGGATACAATGCCTATATCCTGGCCAAGACAAGTAGAGGCAACAGCGGGATTTGGCTCCCTCTGGGTTTTTTGTGGTGTGTGATTTCCTCATGTTTAGGAGACCTCTCAGTTTGATGTGGCAGTTTTGCTGTGGTTATGCCTTTCAACACACTTCCTGCTTTTCTTGCAAAACGAAGACTGCTTTCTCCTCTCTTGAAGGCCAAAGCCCAGATGATTACAGGTTTCCTTAAGAGCTTGAGTGGGGTCTGGAAGGACACATCCTTGGTCCTCCGTGTGTGAAGACTTTGGCTTTTTTTTTTTTTTTTTTATTTGAACAGCAGAATTGAGATTAGCATGGACTTTACTTTCTATTGGAGCAAAGGATTGCAATTCTGTTAGAGAAATGTGAGCTTAGCACCACGCATAGCTTCAGATTTCAAGTGCAAATCATGCTCAGCCCCTCAAGGATGACAGAAAGTAGAACCCAGTCATTTTTGTTGTCTGGGTCACGTAATTTCAATGGCTATGATCACAGTTGCTAGGAATTCAGAGACTCATGAGGTATTGGGAGCTGAGCAGGACCTGAGAACTTCTAAAGCCACTTCTCTGTTTCGGTGGTGGAAACTGAAGTCTGTAGGGGTTAAGCGACTTGCCCGAGGTCACACAGCTAGCCTGGCCTTCATGGTCATTTAGAATCACCCCATAAATATTTCAGGTGAATTTCTTTGCTTAGTCAACTCCATTTCCTACAACTTCTAACCACCATTTGCATTTGATAAAAATAATGTATTAACCATTTCTTTATGAGTTTTTCCATTATGGAAATAACAAAAACTGCATTACAATCTAATTGGAAAACAGAAGTAAATAAGTCATCCTCACAATCTCTTTTTGACCCGATGCCTGTCTATTACTTTTAAATCCTTTGGTATTTTTCTCATTTTGCTTTTTAACTATTAAAATATAGGTGCCTGGAAATAAACATTCCAACAGCATAGAAAGCCATAAATAGTCAACCTTCCCCACTCCTTTGCTCATTTTCTTCCTGATTGGTACTTTCTTTTGATTGTTTCTGTTTTTTCAGGTATTGACCTCGATTGATACTGCTAAATAACATACTCTGTCTAGGTCTTCATTTAGCAGTTTTATGTACTATCTACAGACTTTCAGCTATGACAGGTGAGTAACTTACTTATCAACTCCTTCTCCCACTTCCAAATCATTGGAGGAGGGTATATTTTTGTTTCTCCTGATCGTTAACCTTATGATTTTACATATCATTTAGTCTCTGTGTACTGACAGCTAACTGTAGGTAGTGATTCTCGGTTCCCCACCATGTGAGACAGGAAGCTAATACCCTTTCCTTCCTTCTACATCTCTCTCTTCTGCTGCCCACCTTCTCTTAGCTATACCACTTCTTTTACCTTGTCAAGTTTATAGCACGGGCATTCTCTTTAGTAAATTTGTCCTCCGTGCTTTATCAGTAAGTTAATTCTGATCATGGAAAGCCAGTGAACAAACAGTATATAAGGTACAAAGATGGCATAAGTATTATTCCCTAAGAACCAGGTGTTATGTTGAGATTTGCAAAAGGGATTGTTCTAGTGTCAAGGTCAAGTGGGTTTTCTTTTCCTAGGCTCCATTGACTACACAAAATCATGATTTTTTTTTTTTTGGTTGGTTTTATATTTACACCATGATATATGTGTATATATTTTGTTGTGATATGTATATATAATATAATGTATAAGTATGCATTATATATTATAAATAAAAATCTATAATATATATATTTCCACAACTTACTGTTTTCTGATTTTTAGTTGATTATCAACAGAAGCATATGTCTTCTTCATAATATCACGAATACCTTCCACCTCTTTAATTGTATCATTTATTCTGTCCTCCAAAATATATACACTTTTGGCTAAGCCAGCTGCCCATCTAGACTGAAATTTGAGTTTCTTTTAATTGTATTGCTAGGCTGGCTTCATTCTTTAATTCCTTTTTGTTTTTTTTCTTTTTCGTTTTTTTGGTTCTCTTGTCTTCCTCTTTCTTAGGTAGCACATGATCAAGTGATTTTATTTCCACAAAGAATGTATGGGAGTCCATTCTCTGCATTCTTGCATGTCTAACAAGCCTTTACTTCTCCACACTGGATGGATAGCTTGGCAAGATATCAAATTCTAGGTACAGAATTATTTCTTTGGACTTTGAAGGTAGTTGCTCCATTGTCTTCCAGCACTGGGTGCTGCTGCTGAGAATACTGCGAGTCTTGGTCCTTCCCTTTCATCGGTTATATGTGGCTTGTCTCTCTCTGGGTGAATATAGGATCTTCTTTATTTTCAGTGCTCTGAAATCCCATGAGGTTGTTTCTATGGATCACCGTCTGTTCACTGGGTCCCTGGGGTCTTTCGATCTAAAATACAACTTTGCCTTCCTTCCACTCTGGGAGATTTTCTTAAATTTTTTCTTTACTAATTTCCACCTCTCCATTTTTACTTTTCTCCTTCTCTCAAGGTCCTATTGCATAAATGTTGGCCCACCTCATTTGACACTTTCTGTCTCTTTTTCTCAAATTATCCACCTTTTGTCATTTTACTATCTAATCTGCAAGGTCTTCTTGACTTTTTGGTGTCATCTTTCTATTGTTTGAGTTTTTTCTTTTAATTGCATGTCGTATATTTATTATAATAATTAGTTATTTTATCTAACTAAAATTAAAATTTTAAGAGGATTAAAACAAATTATTTTATAATAAGCTATTTAATAAAATAGAAAAATTATTTGTTATAATAACTTAAAAGTACATTTCAAAAGGGATTTAAAACAGACTTTTTGTTTCCAAGGGCTCCTTTTAAATAAACTATTTTGGGTGGCTCAGTTGGTTGAGCATCCGACTTTGGCTCAGGTCATGATCTTGTGGTTTATGAGTTCGAGCCCCACATCAGGCTCTGTGTTGACAGCTCAGAGCCTGGAGCCTGCTTCCCGTTCTGTGTCTCCCTGTCTCTGCCCCTCCCCTGTTTATACTCTGTCTCTCTCTCTCTCTTTCTGTCTCTCAAAAATAAACATTAAAAAAATTTTTTTTAATAAATAGACTTTTTTGGTTGTGGGTGTATCATCTTGACTCTGCATGAGGTTAATTAGAGTTTGGGGTTTTTACTTAGTTCTTCTTCCATTACTTAGTTCTACTTCCTCTAGGTTTATTTATTCTGTTTACTTATGTTGGTCTTTGTCTTATTTTCCTGTGTGAATGCTGATTTGGGGCAGCCCATTACTATTTACGTACACCAGGCTGGGTGTTGTAATTTGGGTAACTGGGAGCATTTCCTCTTCTCTGAGTGAAAGGGCTGATTGTAAGCTCTCCAGCTGTGGAAGGGGTGTTAACCTCCAGGCTTCAGAGTAAACTGGAGAATGGGGGGGAGCATGCAGCCTCCACCCCTCCCCACCCTACTCCAGGACCCACTCCCACCATGCCTCTCCTCAGCCCCCCCATGCCTAAGCCCTTGCCCTTCAGGCCGGCTTTTGTTTATTTTTTAAAAATTGTTTTTCCAGCCTCATCTTTGGCATAATCACTACACAATGGTCAGAATTTGTAGGTTTCATTTTGTAAATATATAATATCGATATTATATTGGTCAATACTGGTTAATTCATTCTTGCTTCTTGTGGTGGTTTTGAAACCTGCTTGTAATTCTTTGACGCTCCTCACAGAAAGGAGTAGAGTCTATGACCTTTCCTCTTGAACCTGAGCAACCTCTTACAGCTGCTTCAATGAACAGAATGTGGCAGAAATGGTGCTGTGTGACTTTGAAGTTAGATCAGAAAAGGTCACACAGCTTCTACCCAGTGTTTCTTTAGGACCCTGACTCCAGGGCCCCAGCTGCCACATAAGGGGTCTAGCTACTTTGAAGCCTTTTTGGGGACACACCACAGTGAGACAGGCAGGTAGGTAGGTAGGTAAGTAGACAGACCCAGAAATGGATAGATAGATCCATCTGTGGCTTGATGAACAGATTGAATCCTCAGCTAGTTCAGTCTTCCTAGGCTCTAGACATGTGAGTGAGGAACCCTTCAGAATGACCTTGGCCTGGCCTCGGCCTTTCTGCAACTGCATGACAGACAAAGCAAGAACCACCTTGCTTAGCCCCATCAACTCCGGTTGGTTTTGCTTTTAAGGCACCATTTGGGGTGGTTTGTTACACATTAGCAATAGCTAATCAGAACACACCTTATAACATATTTAATCATAGTTTATATTTATAGAAAAAAATCACAATAGTGTCCTATAATCTGGGATCTCCTTCTCTATGCTTCTGGTTTGAGCTCCCTGTCCATATTCCAGGAAAAATTATTCCTTTGGAAGCAGTAACTCCAAGAGTAGGAATTGTTTCTAGCCCAGAAACCAATGGTTCTCATCAATGGTAATTGTTATTTCCATTATTAATTAAGCAAATTAAGGCCTTCAGATGCTTCCCCTTTACACCCTGTCCCACCCAATATCTGCTCCCTTACTTTCCTGCTTGAGAAGGAATCATGAAGCTTTAGAACCTGAAAGGAATCTAAGGAACATCAGAGCTAACCTACTTATTTTACAGATGAGGAAACTGAGGCTATGAACCGCCCCCCCGCCCCCCGCATGCTTGGTAACAGGTGACACAAAACTAGAATTCAGGTCTCCAGGCAACCAGAATGTGTTACTCTTGCCCTGGACTGGGTCGTCTTTCAGATCCAGAGCAAGGGCTTGACTGTCTAGGCTAACTTACCGTGTCCTGTCATAATCTAGAGAAAGCCGGTGCATCTCCTGCCCCTAAACCGATTTATCACTCCTCTAGGTCAACTCAAGACCCCCTTCCAGCTAGTACACGTGTGCAAGTGGGTATTACACACAAAGGGAACCAAACAGAATAAAGCCCGAATAAAAAGGGCCTCTTTTCACCGAGAGAGGAAAACGAGATTGTCCCTGCTTCCTGATCTTAATTATATGAAGTGGCAGGGAAGGTGTGGGAATTGAAACAGATTTGAAATTCTCCCTTTCCTACAAATCTAGCAAACCCCAAAGTTTTTCAGTTTCTCTTTACACACGGGCAGATGTCCTGGTGCAGCTCTCAAGCCACGGAAGGTGCACACACCACGGTATATGCTGCTTTGCAAGGTGCCGTTCAAAGCAGCACTGGAAAATTCTTGACATCGTCAAATGGCTTTCCCCAGAAATGGTGTGGATGGAGGTGGGGGGGGGGGGGACGAGCAAGGGGCTGCTGACTGGAAGCTGAGTGCACAGATTCTGCAAAGGGTTACTAGAAACCCCAGTTGTGAGGTAGCCAATGGGGGAGAGCAGGTTCTAGAGCAGAAGGCCTTCCTGCCGGCAGAGCAAGGATGGAAACAAAGTCCTGGCAAATACATCACCCAAATCTTGTGCTACACATGCCTCTGTATCCTTTTGTTCACTATGTATCCCATCGTGAAAATTGTCCCATGTCGTTAGAACTTAGCCACAAACATCATTTTTGAGAACTATATCCTATTTGTTGACTCTACCAAAATTTACTTATGTCCTTATTGCTGGATATTTCCCCCAATTTTTCAATATTATAAATAACTCATCAATAAGCCACTTTATCTCCTACCTGTGGTTTTCCAGAGATGTGTCTCTCTCTTAGCCTTCCCTTGTAGATTTTGATAGAGAAGACACTCTTGCTGTTATGAAAGTAGAGGTTAATAAGCTGTTAAAATGCACATATTGTAATATGTATTGTATTGGAGATTGTAACAATGCTTATTTTCTTCTTTGAACTTGCTGTCAGGAGTATTCCTATTTTACAGATTAGGAAGCTGAGGCTCAAAGAAGTTAAGTGATTTGCTCAAGGTCACTGAACCAGGATTTCAACTCAGGCAATTAAACTCCAGAGCCAACACTTTTTTTTCTTTTTAATGTTTATTCGTTTTGAGAGGGAGAGAAAGAGTGTGAGCACACATACAAACGGATGGAGGGCAAAGGAAGACAGAGAGAGAGAATCCCAAGCAGGCTCCACGCTTAGCGAGGAGCCTGGCCTGGGGCTCAGTCCCACTACTGTGAGATCATGACCCGAGCCGAATGAAGAGTTGGATGCTTAACCGACTGAGCCACCCAGGCGCCCCCCAGAGCCCACATTTTAATTGCTTTGCTGCTTATTGCCGCC